TAATTTTATCCAAAATAAGAAAGTGTGGTTCTATTAGTATTTAGAGTCTGATAGCCATATTGGATTACATGTCACTCCCCTGTGAGTCACACAACAAATTGCTACTTCCTCTTGACATGGATAGCATTCATCAAGACTTGAGTTATGCAAGTTCTAAAGGTTAAAAAATAAAAGATTTATGACCCACTAATTTAAACAATGAATGTTGGAATTATTAAGTCACTGAGCATTTCATGTCACTGATTAGTGTAATCACGGAAGACTACATAATAATATATACTCAGTAAGTATTGAACTTTTTTGAACTGTATGCTTTGCTTCAGGGAAGACTTTGAGACTGGAGGCATTTGAGTTCCAGCTTCAGTTCTACCACCTACCATCTATGCACCCTTCGCCAAGGCCCAACTTCCCCGTTTTAAAATGGGAATAATTTTACTTTAGTTAAAAGTAATTTTAAAAATCAAAATTGATATATGTGAGAAAGTATATGTTAATTTTAAGATTACCTGTACACATGAACATTTTGTAACTGGGGTCTTGATAGCAATTTTCCTTACTAAATAGATTGTAAATAACAAAGCTCTCCAAATTAAAATAAATACAATGGTATTTTTATAGGATACATATTTATTTGTACAGCATTATCATTAGGAATCCAGTAGTTGACATCAATCCAATGACATGCAATTCACAACTACCAAATAAAGTCTCATATTCCAATTTCATATTGTTTCTTGTGTGCTGGGAGTCTGTTTGGTATACTGTCTGCCTCCTGTTCACCTCTAAAGCACATGCCTGTTTTTCTGTCCCCAATATTATTGCTTATGATCTGATATTTTTCATCCCGTTACATTCGATACTAACCAGCAATAGAAGCAGTCCCATCTGGAAGAGGTGAGAGATTGGCAGAGCCATAGTTTCTCAAGCCTCCCTCTTCAGTTCTCTTAGATTGTCTCTTCCTCAGTTCTGCTGAGTAAGTTTTACCTCTGTACTGATGGAGAGGGAGAAGCTCTTTTGTGCCTCTTACTTTGGTGGAATCTATGACCCGGTTATCCTTGGAGTGAAATAATGGGTATTGATTTGAAGGGAAGCTTGTTGGTCTATGAACAGAGTCAGTGTGGTGTTTGCTGTACTCTTCTAAGGTGGCTTTGGAGGCAGCTCTGATGTAAGCCATAGCACACCATTATGGGCATTGGAACTCATTCAAATTCCAGTTTTGACCCCTGTCAGTTCCAGTTCTGACCCCTGTCTTTCCCCATTTGTCAAATAAAAAATAATAATCTCTGCCCTTTGCTCCCCAGGATTTGGGGAGTGTTGGGGTGCTAAATAGAAAATGTTCTATAAATTTATTTAATTATATCATGATGTATGTTTGTTATTTCAAAATGTTTAGATTGTACTACCCAGTTTAGTCTTAGGCACTTGTGATGTTAGGTCAACATTTTAAAATATTTAAGAGGTTTGATTTTCAAAGACAAACTATCTTTTTTTTTTTTTTAAGAGAGAGTGAGAGAGGAGAGAGAGAGAATATTTTTTTTTAATCTTTATTTTTTAGTTCTCGGCGGACACAACATCTTTGTTGGTATGTGGTGCTGAGGATCGAACCTGGGCCGCACGCATACCAGGCGAGCGCGCTACCGCTTGAGCTACATCCCCAGCCCCTATCTTATTTTTTTGATGAAATATCATAAGTTCAATAATTTTATGTAAAAGTCAGAGATACACTTATTTTCCCCCAAGTCACGAATTTCCAATCAGCATGTTGAGCAATGTTTTGGATAAAATGCTTTATTTTTTTCTTAATCCTAGCTGCACATGGGTACCACCATAGGTTGTGTGCTTGTGTGTTTGTTTTCTTTCTTTTTTTTAATGCCTATTCTGTTATCTCAGACTTGCTGAACTAGATTGTCATGATTAGAGGTTTGGGAAGGAGAACAAGAGTAAATAATAGTTTGTTTTTATCCTTATCAGGGGACCTTTGTACAATCAGAAGGGATTATAACTTATCTAGTTTATTGGTTCAGCAGTTCGTGTCAATAGGACACATTCTGATTAACTTGGAGCAGTATAAAAGCTTTACATTGACTGCAAGCTCAAAGCTGTCAAAGTAAAAGAAGGCAGCATCAATGGATCTTGTTGTGGTTCTGGTGCTCAGTCTCTCTTGTATTCTTCTCCTCTCACTATGGAGACAGAGATCTGGAAGAGGGAGACTCCCACCAGGACCCATGCCTCTCCCAATTCTTGGGAATATCCTACAGATAGATGCTAAAAACATCAGTGAATCTTTAACCAATGTAAGTATGTTGATGCTTATCCAGTGGCTTGTAAATTGTTAATAAATTAATCCTTCGGTTTAAATATATATATATGCACAAGCAAATTATGAAAAGAGAATATTGCAAGACAAATACTCTCTGTTGATTATGATGTTTCCATTGCTTTTTATAGTTTTCATTGTTAGACGTAATGAAACAATACATTGGGGATAAAAGAACCATTTACATTTAATATTTAATGGCAATATTAAAATGGCAAAAGTCTGGAATACATTTCCCTGTTTCATAATCAATTACTGTGATTTTCTATTTGCTGCATAATCTAATCTCCATAATCCTTATGGTTTTGAGTGAATTTTTATTTGTTTATGTCTTTCATCTCCAATTCTGACTAGATTGTTTTTTATGTGTCTATGACTTTATTGAAATGCTCTTTCAACTGAGTTTTCTCTCCTAATTCTTTCCTTAGGACTTCCTATAGTTTATTGAAAATTTTTATAATCAGTTTTCTATCATTTTTCTCTGGAATTTTATGCTCTTTCATATCAGTGGGATTTTTTGCTGGGGCATTGTAAATTAAGGAGGAAGACTTGTTTGTCTATTTTTTCAAGTTTTCAGAGGTCCTGTACTTTTACTTCACTTGAGATGGATTCGTTTTCCATTTAAAACCTATGTCCTTTTAGTGTGTAGCTACATTTTGGGAAGGCACTTCTCTGTGTTTTGGATATATGAGTACGTTCATGGGTATGACCTGAGGTACCTCTGTGGTTGATCTTCCTTGGGGCCTGGTTGTTGGTTTTGATGTTTTTTTCTCCTCAATTCTATGTGTTGAAGTAATGTTGATGCTGAGGTTGGCTAGAACATGGGTGGGGTGAGATTCTTTGTTACTGGGCTGAGTTGTGAGTATTGCTTGGGAGCAGGATATCTACTCTGTGAACCTGAAGTGACTCACTCACTCTCCAACTGCCCTTAGAGGAAGTGCTGAGCAAGAAATAGCACTATTGTTACCAATAGATGTATAGCCTTAAGACAAATGTTCAGTATTTATTTTGACGTCTGTAACACTAATTGCCACCTACAGAGGAATGGTGGGATCAACAATACAAACTGTGAGCAAGATCAGTCATTAGACAGCAGGGGTCTAGTAAATTACCAGCTGTGTTAATAGTCATAACAACATGAATGAGGTACAAATTGCATAAAGGATATAATTTTATTTTTTAGTGAAATTACAGTTTCTTATGTGAAGATAAAATAGGTTAGAAAGAAGAAAGTTTGAAATGTTTTAAAAAGTGAAGCCTGGAGAGACAGTATATAGACCACAAATGTTGACTATAAAGAGGGAGAAATAAAGAATTAACCGTAAGTAGTCTACAAATTAAAAAAGAAGAAGAAGGAACAGGAAAATTTGAGTATTATTAGGAGAAGAGAGTGAAGAAGGGGCAATAAAAAGGACAAAAACCAAGGTATAGCAAATAAGTAAATATAAAATCAAAACAATTCAAACCTATATATGAATACATCCCTCCTCTGTGAAACCAAAGCTAAATAATAAACAGGTACAGAAAAAAAGCAGTTAAAGTGAGATCAAAATTATGTGTTTACATATATTAAACCTACTCATACTATGAGAGCACACATGCCCATACACACCCCCAAACACAATTCTCACACAATGGAAAAAAGTAAAAAATAATAAATTACAGTGAAATGATATTTGAAAAAAATTTAATTTGTTTAATTAGTTACACATGACAGTAGAATGCCTTTTGACATGACAGTAGTGCGTATTTTGACTTATTATACATACATGCATTCCATCTAGAATCCCATTCTTCAAGTTGTACATAATGTGGAGTTACAGTGGTTGCATATTCATTTATGAGCAAAGGAAAATTATGTCTGCTTCATCCTACCGCCTTTTCTAATCCCATCCACTCTCCCTGCACTTCATTCCCCTTTGTCTAATCCAGTGAACTTCTATTCCTCCCCTCCCTAGTCTTCCTTGTTGTGGGTTAGTATATACATGTGAAAAAAAATACAAAAGTGAGGTTAAATCATGCTAAAAATAATTATGCATACCAAATGAAACAATGTACAAATAGAAAAGACCCTATAGAAGGAAAAATATAGTATCCAAAATGTAGAAGGAACTAAAAATCAAAATCAGACAAAATTAAACTAAAAAACTTTTCAAATAACCTTATTAAATATGGGCAAAGAGGAAAATAGATAAAACTGGAGACCACCATGCTAAATGAAATAGGCCAGATCCACGAAGCGAAGGATTGAATGTTTTCTTTGATATATGGAAGCTAGACCAAAATAATGGGCAAAAGTTAGAAGGGTAGATTCCACAAAAATAGAAGAAATTAATGGAATAGAAAAAAGAGTTTGAGTAGAGAGGAAGTATGGCAAAGTTGAAGAACTATGCAATGAATCTGACAAAAATTGCTATGTACATATATGAATGTATTACAATGAATCTACCTTTGTGTGTATTCACAAGGCTCTAATTAAAAAAAAAACACTAAAAATAATAGAAGAAACATCAGTAGAGTAGAGAAAAGGGAAAAGGAGTAGGGAGAAAGGAGGGAAAGGAGAAGCAATGGGGACTGAATTAGAATACATTATATTCCATGCTTGCAGAATAACATCAAAATAAGCATACTTAAATTAAAAGAAAGGAGCTTCAGTATTATTTAGAACTAAAATCAATTAATAAAAAGTGGATGAAGAATATGAATAGATATTTTTTTCAAAAAGCATGCAAATTTCCAAGAG